AGTTCTCTCTCAGCCGATTCAGGTGAGAGGAGACTCTTATAGCTTCCCCTCTTTCTGTCACGTGAAAAGGGTAAGGCAGCGTTAACCGATAGCCTTGTGCCTCAACCGTCCTTTGCCTTATCCTTTCCTTTTCTTTCTATACCGTCCACCCGATTCGGGTGGAGGGCGTAGAGTACTTGGGGACAACGGTGGGTTCGTGACACGCATCCAATTTTCAACGAGTTATCAGACCATTTTGCTACTGTCGTCGCAGCTGCTGGTCCTCCAAATGACTCGAGTTGATATTGTTGCAACACTCCAACTATGCCTTCGAGTCATCGAAAGAGGCCACTTTCCTCGCTATCCTCACACGCCAGACCGCTGGATGCGAGCTCAAGCACATTTGTCCGTGATGTTCAACACACCGCGACCTGTACGCGAACATGTGGAGAAGCTGGGTTCAACGACCTCTACAAGTACGATTGTTTCATGGTCAAATTTAAGAACTACTCTCATTATTCAGATCCCTCCCAGGAAAGGGGTGATGCAAAACAAAACGAGTGGTCGGAGCCAACTACCATTGACACGAATCAAGATATGTTACGAAGTTCAAGGACGCATATGATGCATTCGAGAAAAGTCCGCTTACCGTTCCCAGCCTTGGACCAGATGCCTATTAGACGACCAATATCAACCCGATGCTGTAGCTGAATAAACAAGCGGCGTGCAATCCCATTCTGTCAGTGGTCGTGTGGGATCTGATTTCTCGTCCCGATCTCGTGGTCCCCGAATCTAGCGAAAGACGGACCAAGAAGAGATTCTTCTATATACTTTTACATGCGCAAGCCAAATGGCCCAACGCTGCCGAAGAAATTGAGTGGCAACGCAGCAGCATACGAGCCGGAGAGGGTTTCATACAACAAGAGCGACAATAGGATCACTGTTCTCAACCCAAATGGATACCTGGCCTACCTGATACAGCAGGATATGTTCACCTCGAAGAAAATATCCGTCTACATTGGAAGCGCAATGCTCGGAAGTGTAGGGGTGAGGAGTAGCGAGACGGTTGAAGCCCAAACACTGGTAGCCCGAAGAGACCCGAATTCCGTCTTTAACAAGGTCATCTACCTAGAAGCGAAAACAACTGGAACCGGCTGGGATGTTAAGACCGCAAGCACATTGGACATCGAAAGGTTAGCAAGACTTTGGAAGGTTCGGCAGATTTGAGATGTTCTGTGTGGCTGGAATAGATCTCGCGACTGCGCCAAGCTATGGAGAGCGTTGAAGGGTGTTACAAGCAACCTTGGAGGAAAGGAGGTGGGCGGAGGTCAGTCTCGATGGCAAGGCTGTGTCTTGGTAGACAATGGTGTAATGCCGGTAACTCAGTATATAGATAAACAGGATGTTTACCGTCCAAGTGACTTGATGAAACAAGGAACACACTTTTATAGTTTCCTGTAAGGAAGATCCTGAATGGTGATTTAATATGTTCACTTATCACAGCTGTCGTCGGTCTATTCGTCACCGCCAGTCCCCACTTTGTATATACCTAGGTATGCGAAAGAGCCAGATCAGGCACCCCACGCTCGGGTCAGGGAGTGCTCTGGACGCTCACGCTGAGATAGAGACGGAATCGAAGGCCTCCGGCTTAATTCCAGAGCTATAGCGAAGCCTATCAAGGCCGTGGTGAGTGGTTTGGTTCTTGCTTAATTGTCCCTCTCCCCCCAGCCACCTGTCGGCCCTTGGGGCCGATATGATCGAGGGCCGAGAAGAACGTTCTGCGAGAGGCTATACGAGGTGACGCGTTGCTAATACGGATTGTTTGTGATCCAGACTGTGTTTATGCTCACCGATGTCCCCAGAGCAAAAGCTGGAGAGCCCCGCAGGTACGAGGAGGGCGAAGATTGTCACGCGTGGGCTTGGGGCAACGCCAGAATTGTGAAAAGAACCGAAGTTTGAACGGAAGATTCATATTTCCACGCTCCATTTCAGTGGCACGGCTTACTCATTCTTTTCGCATACTCTATTCACTGCTTTCTCATCAAAGTCAGCGAGTCGGATGTCGTAATAGTCAGGACGAGTCGCCCCATTTTCATCATTTGTGTCAAGATACCCGATTGAAGCTGATTTATCATGATTCAATCCTCTGAATAAAGCACATGGTGCAATAACAACAGGACATAGATTAACTCTTCCTTTTCTGACCCGCGTTAATTATGTTCTAGTCCTCATGTGACTGCACATCATTGACTGATCCTTTTTAGAGACTGGCAAGTATGTCTCTTTGGTCTGTCCGAGATTGAAGTCCAAATTAAGGACATTGATCATCCTATTGGCTTGCGCCAGACAGCCTCGCGCCGTATCGCAAACCAACGGGATCGTTTCTCCAGTCAGCGATATTTCTTCCTCTCTATTTCTTCACGACTCCATCTTCTTCCTTATGGCTTGCTCAACCAGCTCCAGAAATGCCCCCTGTGGGATATATACGTCGTCAGCTTGCCAGTCACCGCGGGCGCTGGTTTGGGTACGGTCATCGACTGATTCGGCGCTGAAATGTGCGTGGCCCAGCATGGCCGCCATGTTGAGGAAGCCTTTATGCTTGAGCCCGAAGGGCAGGATCTCGACGAGGGCCGAGCCCCGCGGGAGGAACATGCCATGTGTCAACCCCGCGCCGTGCACGCCGACAAGGATATCAGTCGACCGGTCGACGGCGAGCTGCTGGGCGAAGGGCAGTTGCGCGAAGTCCACCACGTTGAGCTGAATGGTGGGGTGGCGGAGACGCAAGGCATCGAGCAGGCGGGCTTGGTCGACCAGCCGCCGTTTAGTCGTGCGATCGATGTAGGTGATGACAAGCGGGTCGTCAGGCTGTTTGGGGGGGTCATGGATTTGGTAATAACTCAACACCCGCCGCGAGAATGCGCGCAGCAGAGGGGAGTCGGTACAGTCGAGCAGGTTCCAGTCCCCCTGCCAAAAGGGGTTTCCTCCACCCGCCAAAGGCACCATAATGTTTCCTGGCTCAAGTGGGAAAGAGCTTGTGATGTCGCTCAGCCTGAGGATCGGCTTCTGGGCAAAGAGATGCCATAGCTCAGAGTATGGGCCGTCGGGGAGATGATCTAGAAGGAGCACCTGGGTGTTAGAGAAGTCGGAAGGTTGAATAAAGGGAGCCTTCGTGGCTGGATTGTGTGCCATGCGGAGGATGTCCAAGGTCATGAAGGTAGCGAAGATCTCCAGCAGGGCGTGCCAGATGTTTTTGTACTCGTCTTCCCGCTTGAGGACGATGGTCACTGGAGAAGCCTGGATGGTACTCGAAGGGGTCGCGCCCTGCATAGTGGCAAAGCTCACGGCGGTGCTGAAAATGTACTTTGGACCCGTGGAGTACCAGTAACCTGGGAGGTTGATGAACCGCGGCAAGCCGCTGTTAAGTTCTTAGGGTATGTGGTCACGGAGGCTGCAGTCCAGCACGAACTTGTGTTGGTCGAGGTCGAAGGTGGCGGGACCGGCGATGCAGAAGGCATCTTTGCGTCGGGTCTTGGTCTCGGTGATGCTACTGAAACAAGTCATGCGCGAGGCCGATTCAGCGGTACAGTATTCAGCAGACCGTTGGCTGAAGTTGTCGAGATAGCCGAGTCCAAAGCGTTCCTCGCAGAACAATGACTGATTCGATACCGTGCTATACTCGAACGGCCAGGCAAATTGGTCAGCTTCGAGCAGTTCTGTGTTCGAGCCATCGTGGCTCACAGCTCCAGATAATCCAGCCGTCCTGTCATATTCAGCACCGGCGGGTGAGATCAACCACGAGCGACCTGAGAGACCGTAGAGAGCAATTGTAACTAAGATGAAGACGCCCAGGAACACAACAAGCCGGTAAGGCTGGAGCCGTACATTGACCAACATTTTCGTGTGGACAAAAGGGCAGCTTTGTTGTCAGCGCTGGTCTTGTTGGGGAGGCCCGGGGTGAGATCGCAAAACATCACTAGGTTGAGGCATGGGCGCTTTACTCTGAATTGAGGCCTGGCGTCTGACAAAGCTGCATCATCTTCCCGTACGGATCGAACTAAATGCCGAGTTGACGACGGCTCTGAAAGACTGAGACGACAGCCGTTTGGAGCGGTAGCTGGCGACAGCACTCACAAGTCAATCCTGATGCCAAGAGCCTGATTTACCGCGCTTGCACAGCAATCAACTCATTCACAGGCCCTCACCCTACGCTACCTACGTCTTGCCTGTTACTATACAAGGTACGCGTCCTAGGGTTCCAGAGGTGTATTCGGCAAGACGATCATCGCATGATTCGCTCGGGCTGCCAATATAGGGGGGCGGCGGTCTGGAATTGCAGGCCCGGGCTGCTCATGTACTTCGTACCCCGTATGGTGTAACCGGCCCGTCTGGCCCCTTGTGTTTCAGTTCTGCGAGTGGCTAAGTAAGCGCCTCACCTCCTGCTCAGCCGAAACAACTGTGCCCTGTGGACCCGAAAAGCGCCAGCGGGTAAGGAAGAAATTCCTTGCTAACTTCTTTTCTCCCCCATATCTTTTACCGCTGCTTGCCATTTTGGCTCCTATCTTGCTCCGTGCCAGCAAACTAACAAGACGGAGATAAAATACGTGGATCTGGGAGAAGAATTACATTTGTTACCAACGAAGGAAGGTTGGAGGACTAACCGAATGGGCAGAGATTTAAAGTATTAAATATTGAAATGAAGCTGTTTGATTCCCCACAGAACAGCATCCAAGACAATATCCCCCACACTTAGACCGGTTTACGGTAGTAGCGGCCCGGCCCATATTGGGGACTATAAGGCGATTAGCAACGCTTGCGGCGAACTGCAAGGCGAAGAAATTTATAGCAGTGGTAAGAGCAACGTAATTCTGAACTGTGAAAAGTTTACAACACCATGCACTATCTAAAATTAAAAAAAAGAAGGCAAAAAAGGGCGTGACGAGGTTCGACAAATCGCCCAAGGGTACGCACCACTAACTTTTTGTAGGGGTTGGCCCCCTGGGCGAAAAAAGGACCCACGTATATGTTAGACACAGCCTTGAGGAAACCCGGTTACGAGTTGCATTGGCGCGACTCACCACACTCATTGGACAGATGGAAGGATCCACAGGAGAACAAGGCTGAGTCACGTGATATGCCCTGTTGGCTCTGTTGGCCCTGTTGGCCCTGTTGACAGAGCGCACAGAGCGCACAGAGCGCACAGAGCACAGGCATTATATATACACCCTCGTTACCCCTACATAGTTACACTCTCTCCGTAGCCAACTCATGTTATCTACTGGACTATACAGTTCTTAGTAACAGAGAAACCTTGCTCATATCGCGTGTGATCCACAACCAGCTCATGCTATACCAGGATTGTTGCTGAGAACCCTAACCCAGTTAGGATCAGTAGGGATCCTTAACAATAAGATATTCCTATAGTATATACTCGATACTATACACGACTTAAAGTATAAGAGGAGGAAAGGGTGCGCCTCTCCTACGGAAAGTATACTAGTAATATAGATGCACTCCTTAAGTCGTGCTTCTTAGTTGGTGACCTAATTACTCTCCGATGTATTAGACGTCCGTCCTTTCGATGTTTAACCGAATTCGTAACACCTTTAACACGACCCGGCCCGCTAAGAAACGGGTTACGAGTAGACTTAACTCGACCCGACTCAATCCGACCTATGTTAAGGCCTAAAAGAAGGAGATTCCGTCGATTCGGAAAAGGCCGTTATAATAGAGATTATCTCGATAAAGAAATACTAAAGTCGAAAGTCATACTAAGATCTATATTACTCTTAACGAGTATTTAGTTATAACGATATAATATATAAACTAAACGGGTCATCTTTAGAAATAAATACGACCTTTAGAATTAGAATCTATCGAAGTTAAAACTACCCATAGATAAATATTTACTTCGACTTTATATACGCATATTAAGAAGGAGACTTATAAAATTAATCTCTTAGCTAAATCTCCCCGAATAGTATAACATCTATAGAATATAATATAGCTAATTCTAAATATAATTTAGATCTCGACTATATAAGAAAAAGGGACTCCGTAAGAGAAAGAAGAAGTACTAACGAAAGAAGAAGTTAGATAGCTAATTCGAGAGATTAATGAAAGAGTTACTAATGTAGTCTCCTAAGTAGAATAAATAGCGTAAGAAATGTAGAAAGTAATTAACGAAGAAGTACGATATTAGAGACATCGTAAGGATCGTACGATTACTCGATGAAGAAATTCGAGAACGGCTAAGCATTATAAGAATTATGGACCGAGTAGAACGAGGAGTTTAAGCCGTAATACGAGCTTATAAAGAGCGGAGAGTCCTAGTACCCCGATATCCAGAAAAACTACCTAACGAACTCCCGCTCCGACTCCGAAAAACAAACCGAGGATGTCGACTACAACTCCCAGTCCGACACTACAATCGATGGCGAGGAGCGGCGGCTCCCGTCCGTGTTCGCTGCGGACAGAGAGACACAGCACCGCCAGGGCAGTCTGACGGCTTACCACGAGACCTTCTTCTCTGCCTTCAGTCCTTCGAGCTTTCGGAGGAATCCCAATGCTCGGATTGTGACCGAAGCCACCGACACTGAGAGACGACCGCTCAAGGACCAGCCGCCGGCCGAACCGGCCCTGGCCATGAAATTAAAGCAGAGACACCTGCAGATAATAGCTATCGGGGGTTCGATCGGTGCGTCTATTGAATCTCCTTTCGCCACCTTCCTCGGGGGGCCCGGGAGGGAGAACGTAGAAAATGAAAATAACTAACAGTCAGTGCTTAGGGACTGGTCTCTTTGTCAGCTCTGGCTCGGCCCTGGCGACGGGTGGTCCGGCCTCGCTGATGCTTGCTTACGCCTCATTAGCATCATGCTGTACTGCACTGTCCATGCGCTGGGAGAATTGGCCGTCCTTTTCCCCATTTCAGGCGCCTTTGCCGTCTACAACAGCAGGTTCATCGACCCGGTATGGGGGTTTGCAATGTCAGTCATAACTCCGCTTCCTCATACATTAAAGACCACCGCCCTTGTTATCCAAAGGTCTTGTGGCCAGACGTACTGATCTGAGATACCCAGGGGTTGGAATTATGCTTTGTATTGGCTGGTCACGCTGCCCCTGGAACTGACCGCCGCATCTATCACTCTCTCGTTCTGGTCCGGCGCGAGGAACGTCAACCCTGCGGCGTGGGTGGTCATCTTTTACATTGTTGTTGTGCTGATCAACTTCTTCGGCGTCAGGGGGTAAGTCGTTTTCGACATCTCTCAGGGTTGTATTTTGGTGGAGGAGGGGAAGAAGAAGATGCTGATTATGTGTCAGATATGGAGAGGCCGAGTTTATCTTTTCCATCATCAAGGTGCTCGCCGTAAGTATGCTCCCGGCCGAGTATACCACTTCATCCAGATCGGTAACCGAAAAAGAGAAAAGGACGAGCAAGAGCTGATCACCCAATTAGGTCATCGGCTTCTGTATCCTCGGCATCATCATTGTCACTGGCGGCGTCGGACCCCAGGGCTACCTGGGTGCGCACTACTGGTACGACCCCGGGGCCTTCAACCACGGCTTCAAGGGCCTCCGCTCTACCTTCGTCACGGCCGCCTTGTCCTTTGGCGGCACCGAGCTGGTGGGTTTGACGGCTGCCGAGACGGAGAACCCGCGAAAGTCGCCCCCCACGGCCGTCAAGCAGGTCTTTTGGCGAATCTGCCTAGTAAGTTACCGAGCATCGAAATATAATTGCGGGGGTGGAGATCTTTTTTTTTCTTTCTGACTTCTTTGTCCCCGTCATTGGGAGGTATTAGTTCTATATGGTAAGCTTGACCATCGTCGGCTGCCCGGTGACGTACACCAACGACCAGCTCCTGAACGGGAGCAGCAGCAGCGACACTAACGCGTCGCCATTTGTGATCGCGGTCAAGAACGCCGGCATCGCCGCGGTGCCCTCGATCATGAACCCAGTCATCTTGATCGCGGTGCTCAGCGTGGGCAACTCGTCCATCTGCGGCTTCTCGCGCACGCTCGCGGCGCTGGCTGACAGGGGCCAGGCTCCGAGGTTCTTGAGGTACATCGACCAGGCCGGCAGGCCGCTGTTGGCCATCATCTTCGCGTCGGCGGTAGGACTGCTGTGCTTCATCGTCGCCGCAGGCGACGACACGCGCACACAAGCGTTCAACTGGATGCTGGCGATCTCGGGCCTATCGTCCGTCATGACGTGGGCGTCCATCTGTGCGTGCCACATCCGGTTCCGCGCGGCGTGGAAACACAACGGCTACAACGTGTCCGAGCTCCCCTTCACCTCCCAACCGGGCGTTGTGGGATCGTGGATCGGGCTGACCCGTCGGATACGGGAGCATGACTGCCGCGGTGCGTATCCAGGCTTTCTTCGAGGCATATCTGAGCTTCCCCGTCGTGCTCGCCTTCTACCTCGCCTTCAAGCTCTGGAAGAGGCCTGCTTTCAAGCGCATCCAGGACATCGACGTCACCAGCGGCAGGAGGGAGCTGGATCTCGCCGACATCCTCGCATTCGAAAGGGCTGAGCAGGCCGGGTGACCCTGGTAGAAGAGGACATACCAGTTCTTGTGCTGAGCCAACGGGGAGAAAAAGAAAGAGCCGAGGGGCAGGGACAGACGGACCCATTTACCATTCATGAAATCTATATCGCGCAAAACGGGGCGAGGCCTCGATAGATCATCCGTTCTCGCATAGTAGCAGATAGGGAATAAAGACAACATTACAAGTGGATCTTAAACAGCCCCCCTCTGAAGCAAGTTGTGGGGGGGGGGGGGGGGTTGGACGTCTGCGAAGAACAGAAATGGATGGAGGGTTTCGAGGAAGTCCGCTCCCCGCCAGTGCTGTGCCAGCCGACCAACGGAACAGCAATTTACATGAAAGTCTGGGTCTCTAGGAAGAATGTCTAATTACAGGAATTCTAACACAGACCGTAGTAGGCTTCCTTATTTCCCCTTCGACGCTGAGTCATGCCGTTCTCTTCCGCAATTTGTTCCTCTTAACCAAGACAGTCGCTCGCAGATGCAAGGAGATCACTATAACATCTTTGCTCCCCTTCCAACCTGTCTGCCCGACCTGGCAAGGTTGAACATGTGGTTCAATACCATGACTTGTAAATTGCTAACCACTGAATCGTCATACCACTCTCTACGCCAGGCATTGTGTTATCATTGGGATTTCCGGGGTAATCGCCTCCCACAGCGATGTTCAAAATTGGGAAGAACGGGCTTCGGCCGCACCTGCCCCAACATTCCCTCGTGGCCCAGCTGGAGCCGTCTCCTTGGACTGTGTAGTAAGTCTGACTATCGAGTTGGAATAACTGATCGTCCGGTTGCTGTAGTTACCGTCGGAGAGGTCGATGAGGATGGCCCAAGTGTGGTAGTCTCGGCGATCAAAGTCGACATATCCGTGAGATTCGGCGTGGTTACCATATGTATCGAGCTGGTGGACCTAGCCTATGTTTGGGTGTTGTCAGAGACTTGAGTAGAGCTCAGGGCAGTAGCTTACTTTGGTTTGCCGAGGAGCCATTCCTGAGCTCCATGATATCCTACTCACCGCATTGGGGCCTGGAAAATAGTTGCTTCGTCAGAGGCTCCTCTACTAAGACAGGAGAGTGAGAGGGACTCGGAACGTACCAGTGAATACCCCTGCGCATCGACTGGCCCAAAGCCCACCAAGCAGGCCAAATCCCCTGCTGCTGCCACGCCGGGTTCTGGCCGAGCTTGATGCGCGCGGCAAAGATCATCTTGCGGTTGGGGTCACACCCGAAATTGTGGTTGCCATGCAGACTAGCAGAGGTCCATTGTCCATTCACTTTCTGTGGAGATATGACGAGTTGGCCATTTCCGTCGAGGAACGCATTGTCCGTTGAGTTGGTGTACCTCTGCCACTCGAGATTCCAATTGAATGGGGAAGTTTGTAGCGTCCAGTTCTGAGAGTTGGGAGGGGAGCCAGCTGGGCCGTAGAACTCGTCGCACCAAGCGACGTAAAAACCAGCAATCTCCGGGGGTTTCATAGTAAATAAAAATAAACGAGGGATATCTGAAGTGTATGGATGACTGAGTAGAAACTGGTGACCCGAAGACGAAGAAGTTAAGGACGAGAGGTTTGCCGTGCCTGCTCCTGCGCCCACTTGCCTCGAGGACGAAGGAATGGTTGCAGGAAGATGCTCAGTGACCGCAGCCATGTCGCATCCAGCGTCTCGACAGCGGCAACAGCAACTTCCCTCTAAACAGATCCATCAATCAATTGGGTATCTCTCTTTCCCCGTGGACGGCAGGAAACAAAGTCGGAGCTGACGAAGGTTTTCGTTGCGTTTGTCATGCTCGTCACTATGTTGACGTACGCACGTTGGCTGTGATCAACAAGAATGGACGGAGTGGATCGCAGCTTCCCGGACAACACAATGAGACGTAATGAAACACGGTTGCTCCAATCTGGCCTGCTCTTGGTGTCACCTCGATGGTGCTGTTGAGCGATAGCGGGGTTCCGTGGACAGAATCTGAGATGGATGGCGTTGATATGCGGAGGCGCTTCGAGGCCCAAATTCGACAGATGAATGTTGTTACTGTAACCATAAGTTGCATACATAACTCGAACCGTCTGTATCAAACACTATGATCCCACGATCAGTAAGGTTTGTTGACCACTACAGGCCCATTCCTCCTCGACTTGCTGCCTGTATCATTGTCGAACACCAGCTCCACATATCCCTCATAATTCACCTTGACACTAACGGGCTCGCGGAATGTGTGAAGGGTGTCGAGTCCCACGCTAGCATGTGGATCCAGGTATTCTAGCTTTCGACTCATCAAGCCCAGCACCAACAACTCACCAATACTGTCCCAAGTGGTGCCCATGCCGCTGGTGAGAAGTAAGAATATACGCGTCACCACAAAAAGGTTAAAACACCGAATACTCCAAGCATTGCAAGCGAGAGCTGCACCGTAATGTCCTCAGCACTGTAACCGTATCCTTGCTGTAAATGAGACACCACTTAGTAGGTGAGAGAAGGGTGATCTGACAGTGCACCCTTTGCGTCGATGTCGATCGGTACACCCGCGTACGGAGTCCAAGCGTGGCTTTTGTCTAGATACGGGTAAAGGGCCTTCGTATCAGGATCGTCGTCGTCGTCGCGTTCGAGGAGTAGGCCGTTGTACTTCATATAGCCATGATCCCCATTTGCAAGCGCTAATGCGACTGTTTGTTCTGGGGAGGGGTGAATGGTCAGAAATTGGAGCGTGACTGAGATCCCAAAATGGTTGATCGAAGGCGGTTAGTCCATGCCTTGGAAATTCGATTTCCTGATCTTGCGGAATGCTACCATCATAGTGCACCTCGAGAACGCAATTGATCTGATTGTAGCTGTCGTCCGCGGATGCATTCAGCGTGACACTAGTCCACGTCGCATCGATCATGCAAGCATAAGCGGTCGCCACGTAGCTTCGGTCAACAGATTCTGTCGCCCCATACACCATGAGAGTCGAACTCCGCGAAAGAGTAGAAGGGGGCAAGTTTGTGAAGAAGAGAATCGTGCTGTCATCCGTGACATTTCCGAGAGTTTCATCCCATGTGACGAGACGGTTCAGATTTGCATCTGAGCTCGGAAAAGACAGGCAAGTTGTATTTTGACCATAGTCGTACAGATCGTTCTCGTCGCAAGCACTCTGAACGAGGGCTTGAGAGGTATTCATTGTCCAGATGTTACAGGGAGATTCCGAGTTTCTTTCCAAGTTCGCACTTTTTGTGCGCAAAACATACGAAATGGGGAGTGAAGGGATCGTCGCCGAAGATCAGGGCAACCAAGATCAGATGGCAGTCCGAATTGTCGTATGCCATCTGAGTAAAGGAGGCGGTATGGCGCTGGTCCGTAGAATTGACCGAGTTGCGTGATACCTTGTCGAATGCAGCGCCGTTGTCTCTAACAGTTAAGAGTTTCAACAAGCAAATTCTGAGGAGAACGTGGAGGTGCACTTACGGATAGCTCATTGTATGAGGGAGGAGGTCATCGAGCGAACTTAAGATATTGAGGTATTGGCCGGTGGAGGGCGTGGTTTGACGGGGAGGCGCTTTCGGCAGCGTGGACAAGGCTAATGCCAACACCTGCTTGTGTGCCATGCCGACGGCGAGAACCGTTTGAAGAGGATAGAGATTTCGAACTGAAGGCCTCAAAAGTTATATGTCTTCAGCCGAGCATCCGATCAATGTATTTGGCAAAAGACATAGACGCAAACGTCTGTTTCATGAATTCAAGCAAACCTTCATTTGGGGTATGTAGCAGAACAATATACTCAAGGCGTTTTTTTATTGGCTTTCTTCATTAGTCTGAGGGCTGTTCACCTCAGTGCGGTTCAGCCCAGGAGAATATGGCTGTCTCTCTAATTGAGTAACCTTGTGGCAGATGTGTCGGACGTCAAATCATGTTCAAAGTTTGAGTAGAGCGACATTGGCCCTGGCCCCTCGCCCCTACTAGAAGAGCAGGGCAGCAGCAAGAGGAATGGCACGCCTGACCATGTTTTAGCGGCATGGTTTGAGTAGCCCAGGGAGGCCTCAAAGTGTGGACTGAGTAGGCCGAACATTTTCGTCAAACTAAAGCCCAAGCCTCCAAACAGACGCGTCAATCAGGCTGGGCTGTGGAAGCTGTGCAAAGGACAAAAGACTCAGGCACCAGAAAATGGCCAAGAAATGGCCAACGCCAGGACGCCGCCCGGCAAACTTGCCACGATTGGTTGTGGGGGGAAGATGTTGAGCCTCGGCCACTTCGGCACCGAGTATGTGTCGGGGAATCAACATTCCCAATGCCGCGGCCACTGGACGCCCGCTGGACGGCGCCGCTCCTCCCAGATAAAGGCCTGAGCAACATGAAGTGAAGCTCACTGGGCGAAGATATATGCCTCTGCGGCGTTGAAGAGCAGAAGTGTCTCTGCAGCAGTGAACAAGCAAAGATGACTGCCAACCCACCCCTGACGGGCGTCCGCGTCCTCGAACTCGCTGGCTTGGCTCCAGGTACCGCAAGCTTCCTTCCCTCAAGGTATCCAAACAGCAAGGTTGCTCACGAGTCTATATAGGCCCCTTCTGTGGCCTGCTTCTCGCCAACTGGGGCGCCAGCGTCCTGCGCGTCGACCGCCCGAGCCCAGTCTCCAGCAGTGATCTTCTGACCAGCGGGAAACGCTCCATTGCGTTGGACCTGAAGAACCCCTCCTCCGTCGCCGTCTTCCTGTCGTTAGCCGCGATTGCCGACGTCCTCATCGACCCTTTTCGCCCCGGAGTGTTGGAGAAACTCGGTCTGGACCCTGAAACCGTCCTGCTGAAGAAAAACCCCCGCCTCATCGTGGTGAGACTGACGGGGTTCCGTCGTGATGGGAAATACTCTGCCATGGCGGGCCACGACATCAACTACCTCGCCGTGTCCGGAGTGCTCTCCATGCTCGGCGCGAGAGGGGCCCCACCTGCACACCCGGCCAACATCCTCGCAGACTTCGCCGGTGGCGGCCATGCCGCATTCACCGGTGTTCTTCTGGCGCTGATCCACCGCTCAACAAGTGGGAAGGGACAGGTCGTGGAAGCAAACATGGTGGATGGCGTCAGTTATCTCGGCACGTTCCCGAGGCTATTGACGAAGATGCCCATGTGGAATGGTGAACGGGGCACGAATACACTAGACGGCGGAGCCCCATATTACGGGTGCTACGAATGCAAGGACGCGGGCAAATACATGTCAGTGGGCGCCCTAGAGCCGCAGTTCTGGCAGGAGCTGCTGAAGGGACTAGGTCTCACCGAGGAGGAGGCCGTCCCGGGCAAGCTCGATCGGCTGGACAAGCGCTCTTGGCCGTACATGCGCGAGCTGTTCACACGGCGGTTCAAGGAGAAGACGCGCAAGGAGTGGGAGGCCATCTTTGACGGGACAGATGCCTGCTGCGCCCCTGTGCTCGAGCACGCGGAGATGGAGGCTGCGGGATACGAGCACCGACCCATCGTCGGGCTGACTTCGTCGCCGGCGCGGAAAGTCGAAATGCAGTGGGACGGCAAGGCCTTGAAGCCCGGTGAGGGAGGGGAGCAGGCTTTGAGAGAGTGGATGGGCTGGAACAATGGAAGAGACTACGACATTTTGGCCAACGGTTGCTGTGAGAAGAGAGAAAAGAGTAGGTTGTAGATCATCCGTCTCCCTCATACCATGGGTGGGGTGGAGAACAGCAGTTCATATTTCTCTGGTTGAGAAAAATATGCTTGAGACTGTAAAAATTTGTATTTTTGATTGTCTATCTAGGAGATACCCATTTCTTCATCTGGTTCCTTTAATTGGACCCCTTCAGTATATACTCGTCACCATTTGCCTAGAATCCTCACCACATCCCATAATAAGCGCCAAAGCCGGCGGCAGCCGGCAAGTCATCCGCATTCAACAGTCCGACACCTTGCTCGAGCAAGGTCGCCCACACCGCGTTCCGCGTGCTGATCGGCCAGGCTGGCGTGTCCCAATAGCGGGCCAAGATGCCCTTGGAGTTGGCCACCTCGATCTGGCTGATCAGAGTCTCCAGTTGGGTGGAATTGAACGTGGTGCCGTTGATGGGGCCGAATTGCGCGGCAAAATCTGTCGACGCCACAGGCGAGACGGCCGCGGTGATGTTGGATTCAGTCGAGTTCAGTAGGTCCAGATGGGCATCGAAGAAGTAGTCGCGTTCGTGGAGCGGCTGGATCAGGTTCAGCGGCGTGTTGCCGGTGCCGATGACAGTGACGGGGCCGACGGTGACGCCCGTGCCGTTGAAGGTGGTGAGGTAGCCCGGCGTGCGAAGGGGTTCAAGGGCACTGACTACGGCAGGCCACGTGGTTGGGCCATCCGTCTTGAGGTCGATAAACAGAAGGAGAGTTTGACCTGAGGCTGTGTCGTAGACGCCGTTCTTGGTGGATGAGGTGACAAACGGCGACGACGGGTTTTGTCGTTGGATGGTATCCAGGATGGGTTGGATGTAGAGTGAGTCGAGCGTTCGGGCAGGTGTCAAGGCAGATTGTTCATGGCCAACGTAGAGGGTGTTGTTGTAGAGCCAGACATCGGCCTCGACTGAGGCACAGCCTACGGAGAGGGCTGAATAGAAGGGAACGTCGCGCCAGTAGTCGTTGTGCGAGTGGATTGGCTTCTACAGCGATATTGAACGGTGAGAAGAGACTCGTCGTGGACAGCAAAAGAAACAATCACCCAAGAGATACTATTCTCTAGGATCACACAGGCGGCAGGGAATGTGCTATGGAGGGTAAAACGGACCGGTACAATTCCTCTTGTCAGATCTGTTGGATAGCTATAGCCATCGCTCTTTTGCGTGTTGGCCAGAATGTTTTGGAGAGTGCTACTGATGTCCAGGCCCGTTGCCTGTGCCGAAGGGGGCAGTGCTGCAGCATTGGATTGCAGTGCCAAAGGAAGGGCGAGCAGCAAGAGTGAAGAGACCATGCTGCAAACCACGGAAAGGGACGCGTTTAAGGTAAAAACCGAGCCAATCTATGCCAAGAGATCGAAAACAAAAATGCTGGACAAGAGGGAAGGACGTCGCTTATATGCTGCCGTCTGCAAGCATCATATGTTGACAGAAGTAGATGATGTCGACCAGAAAGTGCGGGTTGGAAGTTGAGCATCGCGCTCGCCATGTATGGAAAAGCGGTGGGTGGAGCCAATGGGGAGGAGACCGAAGATGCCGGTCCGGGGCGGAAGAAGCTTGATTGATCCAACATCCAACGACAAGGCTTGTAATGGCTTCTCGCCAATACTGAGTACTGTACTCGTCCAGTCTGTCGACTATCCAATTATTGGGCTTGCCTCTACACGTGCCTTCGTCTCTGTACATACCGTTTTTTGTCATGTTTAGTAGTGGCAAGGACAGAAGGTGGAAGACCAAACGATGCCGCATGAGTGATTCGTCTATACGTTACCCAGGTATATGCTAGAAGCCCAAAAACGACTCAGCTCATCCTGGTTTCAAACTGGTCTCTCAAGAACCAAGGCTGAAGTATGAGGTACTTTGCGAGTAGGTAGGTATTCGGTATGTAACTGGTAATACTCTGCATGCATCCAGCAGGCGATCGGCGTGAGTGGCTTGAATTGTGGCTGGTGTAGCTTGTCTCGCTGTGTGGCTTGATGTGTGTCTGAATGAAGTTTAGCTCGGCTTGGCACTTGGCACTTGGCGATATCGATGACGGCATTGTGAAACCCCTGTTCCGCGCCAACCATCGAACAGATTCATACACATCAGTCAGTCACTCAATCGGTGACATCCCACATCTTCCAGCTTTCACCTTCCATCTAGAGCATGACGCACTCGGCATCTCGACAGCCTCGCCCAGGTATTTATGCTTTTCACTCTCATTCTCTTGGTTTTCCTCTTCTCAATTTTTTCCCAAACCTGCAACCCGGCTCACCTCACTAGCAAGTTCCTTCGACCAACACGCTTGACGCCTCCATCATCATGCTTCTCTCCCGTCTCCTCTGTTCCCTCGTCGTCGTTGTGCCCGCTTTGGCTCAGGGAAATAGTGTCAATTCTACCGTCACATCCAACTCCTCGCCCGTAACCTCATCAGCAGTTTCCAACTCATTGGCATCCGTCTCGTCAGAAATATCCAAGTCTCTCGTCTCAGTCTCCAATTCCGCCGCCTCGGTTGCTACCTCTGCCTCCAACTCGGCCGAAAATGCTGAAAACTCCATCGCTGCCAGCTTCACCTCGGCCAAGTCTGCATTCTCAGCCAGTCTTTCCAGCCTTAGCTCTGAAGCTGCTACGGGCAACACCGGCGCGGCTGCCACTCTCTCATCTTTGACCTCTGCCGCCTCCTCCATCCTTGGCAGCATCACCACCGAGGCTGCCAGTGCCTTGAGTGCTGTGACAAGCCAGGCTGGCTCTGTTGCTTCGGCGGCATCTTCTGGTCTCAGCTCGGCCGTTTCTTCTGCATCTGCAACCACGTCCTCCACTACCAATGCCGCCGCTGTCATGCCCGCTGGGTTTGGTATTGTCGGAGCTGCATTGTTGGGTCTGGCTGCCTTCTTGTGAACGACAATGGTGTCACGAACGGGACGGGATGGGAACTGGCAAGGTCTCGGAGCAGACAGTCAATGGAGTCATGGCGCTTGGAATGGATGTGCTTGATGGAAAAACAGAACACAGCTTCCATAGATTCTGTGACAGGTTATGGGCCAGGGTTCAGACAACAGCATACCAGAGTCAACCAACGTCTCCACTTTGCACTATCATTTCTGCTGTGGACGGGTGTGACACGGTGGAAAGCAACAGGCTAGGACCGCCTGGTGATAGGCACTTATGGATGAATAAATGAAATAATGCAGTGCTATGTTAAGTTATCACTTCGAGACAACAGCATCCTTTGCATCAGTGGTGTTATCGGCCGCGATACACTCGACATTTCCTTGCAAATACTCTTTTTATTACGAGTTCTCTTCGTTGATCTAGAAGTTGTATGTTGTCGCGCATCGACGGCGACTTTGAGGCACCTTTATCTCCTTACTGCCTTCTTTTGAGAGGCCTGTATCTCCGTACTCGTACCTATGCATGACTGCGCATCTTAGCCTCTTTGCAATGACTTGCATAAGCGCTTCCTTAGCCGGGCCCCGGGCTTCTGAGTTGGAAAATAGGCCAATGCCTTGTGGTATTAGGATTCGAAGAATTCTTAGCATTCCACTTTTGGATCTCGGACACTCAACATATTCCTAATCCATTATTGCGCGTAGTGGGTTTAAACACCACTTCTTTCACTCAACAACTCGAGAGCCATATTCGTTTCCTTTTTTTTGGACTGCGCTCTCTTCCACATTCATAATCACTAGATAGAAACGTTCGCTCCCACAACGTGCCATCCTCCATGTCTCTCCCCACCACCCGCCGCATCGTGACGGGTCTGGTTCCTCCTTTCCTCTCTCAATAACCACAACAATATATGTAGATACTGACGCAATTACCCCACCATATAGGCCACGACAGCACGGGAAAATCAATAATCGAATCCGACATCACCCTCACGCCCGCGAACCCGCTGGACGCGACGGGCGCGCCGCCGACCGGCGTCATCCCGGGCTTCACCAACATCTTCCGCACGGCGGGCTTTCCAGCCGCGAACGTGCAGGGCCCCTGGACCGACGTACACGGCAAGAAGATTGGCCTGGTCGACCAGGCCGGCGTGTACTGCCGCATTGTGGATTTCCCGGCCACGGGGCCGGAGACAAAGGATGACGTGAATATCATGCACCGCACGCAGAGCGTCGACTTTGGCGTCGTCCTCAAGGGCACCATCACGCTGATTCTGGACGATGGGTCCGAGACGGTCATGAAGGAGGGGGATGTCTGTGTCCAGAGGGGCACGAATCATGTGAGTACCTATGCGCCTTGGATGGGCGTTGATCTCTCTCCCTCCCTCTCGCCCAACTCATCCACCTCTACGCGCCATGCAACGAGTCAATCTCCATCCGTCAACCTCTCTTCATTTATCCCATGCTTCTTGCCCGACTTCCTCTCCCACTTAAATAGTCATTGGCCACATACATCCTAACCCCCCTCCCCAAACTCGTCATCATTACCACTCCTTCCTACCCCTACTTTTATGACTCCCATCACCACAGTGCACAGAATCCCTCCATCTCCAGTTATTTTCCTTCGTGTTGGCTTGGACTTCTCACAAGGCGTCCCTACCACCACCTTAACAGGCATGGAAGAACGTGAGCACGGAGAACTGCCGCGTTCTGTTCGTCCTTGTCCCCTCGGAGCCGATCCGGAACGAAGCCACGGGGCAAGCATTCCCGTCGACGAACACGGCGCATCTCGAGGACGAGACGCACATGGCGCAATAGGGACTAAGCGGCGGACCATTGGAACTCCCCGAGCCCCCACCCGCCTGCCCATGGCGAGACGGGATAGTGCGACGATAACGACGAGGCAAGAGGAGGAGAGGAGAATGGAAGAGCGGTAAGGGGAGAAGAAAGGAAGGAGGGAGAGCAGAGAAGAGGAGAAGAGGAAGAGAAGACAAAACGAGAACTATGTGCAGAGCCCGACCAACCCCCCTTTTCCTCGCGGAGAGATCTCTTCCTCTCCCATAGCACCCACCACGACTTACGATATAATCATCCTCCTCATCCTGGGGTGGGATCGAGTGTTCAACACACGGCCCTACAGACATCTGATAAATATGACTTGTTTGCCGAAGAAACTTCGAGTCAAATTAGATGGAACTGGTAATTGACGCATATATAGACCTGTACTCTCACAATTCGTCGTCCGGGTTTCTCTCTCTCTCTCTGTGTGTGTGTGTGTGTGTTTTCTGTCTCAGAGACTTTTGAGGGGAATCAGGCTGCAGGAATACACAAAGCACCCTCGCTTTTTTCTCTTCTGTCGACGATCACGGTAGAACAAGGCCCTCTCTACCGACGCTGGAATGGAAAGACGAAGGCGCAAGACACCGCCTTCCCGATTGGACCGTTTCCGTCTACTGTCAAGAGTTTCCTTTTGCAGGACGAGAAAATTATCAAGCACCAACTTCTGCAACGACCTTACCTCCAGTCTCGACGCTCGCGCCTCTGAGGCCCTCGCGTTCCACCATCTTCTTGGCCTCTTCCATCCCTATCTCTCTCTCTAACCTCTCCTTTTCAAGCCTCTTCTTCTCCAACGCCTCGAAATTCCTCCTCATCGCGTTGCGGGTAAACTCCTCCCCTGTCACCATGGGGTATTTCTTGAGCGGACCCTGGATGACGGCGTCTCTGCACGGTTGGTTGAAGAAGGCGATGCTGTATCGTTCGCCGTAGAAATCGTCAACCTCACTAGGAGCCTTGACGCGGTGGAAGGTGGATTTGAATCGGTCGTCGGACCAGGACATGAGAAGGTCGCCGATGTTGCAGATGACAGATTCTTGAGAAGGGGCAACTTTCGTCCAGGTGTCTCCGTGGGCGAAAGATGTGGACGCTTCGCGACCAGGACAGATCTGTAGAATGTAAGGTCAGTCAGGCCCTTCCCATTGCCTTGACAGGCTCTCTGATAATTGGTTGGACTACAAAGCGACGGAGCAATACAACGCACCTCAAGGCCGCTCTGCCCCTCCTTCTGGAACAAGAGCGTCAATAGATCCCAATCGGTATGTGCTCCTGCGCGATGGAAAACCTCCCCGTTCGTGTTTTCTCTGGGAGTTTCAAAGTAATGCAAGAGTCTCGCCACTGTCTGACTCTCGGGTCTCTTCACATCATGTGCCTTGACAAAGTAATCATCTTCAAACCCCAATCCTCGCGCGAAACAAGTCATCAGTCTCTCTGAAACTTCCTGCACCTTCCACATGAATTTGAGGGCGGAATCTTTGAAGCCCGGCAAGATGGGTTCATCAAGCCATTTACCCTCCATGTTTCTGCCGAATTGCATCTGGTAAGACTCCTTCCTGTCTGCCGCACCCGTGGAAGGTCGGACTTGTGCATTCTTCTCCCACCCGGCATTGTGTGCGGAGGAGAAGGGGACTTTTCCTTTGGTCTCGTCCGGAAGAGCAAAGAACCGGGCTGATTGGGCAAATATCTCGTCGATTTCTTCGGGAGTGATGCCGTGGTCAGTGATGGAGAAGAACCCCACGTTCTCGGCGGCGGAGACTAGTTCCGAGGTGATTTCATCAATACGTGATTCAAAATTCGCAAGTGAAATGGTGGGAATGGGACGGTCCAAGTATTTTGTCTTCTCGGCACCCATTTCGATCTAGTGTTGAGTGTACGAAGGCTACTTTCAAGAAACGAGGAACTGAGAGAGAAGCAGTCCAAACGCTTGATCGTTTATGTTTCGGCAGGGCGATCTGCTGGTCGACGAAGGGTTGAAAGGGAGTTTGAAGGACGTTCCGGTGCTCTTTATAGTCACTATAGGGTGCAGGCGTCCATAATCACTGGGTTTGGTGGTGGTCGTTCGCACCCTTGATATCGAACGAGAGTTTATGTACAACCGATAAGGCTGTCCGACCTTCCCCGCCTTTTATCGTCCAATGATGACGCTTCAATGATCGTACGTTGCTGATAGGCCTGCTGAGTCTTTCGCACAGCCTTATGGTTTGGGAACCTCTAATCCTTATATGTCGAAGTTCAAGAGATCCTCAAAAAGAAAATTGTTACTGATCCCGGTGTGCGGGGGGAAAAGCTGTTCAAAGGTCTCGTACCCCAAGTCGGACGTGATGACGGGTTCTTGAGATCCAGGCGTTTTTGATTCAGTCGGTTCATACAGATCCAGCGAGGGTTCGGCGCCTCGATTTGCCGACCGCAGAGAATGTGTGAATGAGTCGTTTCCCACAAAAGACTCGACAAACTTCGGCACGTTGAACTTCTGCCGCTTGGGTTGGCCGCGATCGCCGCTCATATTGTCATGTGTCCGCTTTCGATAGTTTTCCAGGGTCTGGTCGGCCGTCAACCGGGCCTGCTCAGCGAGCAAGGATGACAGCAATCGAATGCCACGCATTGCAATCATGCTGTTTTCGAATTTGCCTAGCATTGTGATGGTATTCTCCACCAACTTCCGGTGTTCTTCGTACTCGGTCTCACTGGGTCGGCGGTGAAAGATGTCCAAGGCGAGGGTTATGCCCGCCGCAACCATGAAAGCTTGATCGATCCAGAGCATCGGTCCTTCCTCGTCATAGGCCTGTCTGGCCTCCTTCAATATTGTCTTTGCGGCTGCCATACATGTCCGACGTGTAAAGTCGAACGCTTGCTCCGTAAAGCTGCGACCTAGAAACGCTCTGTGGATCATGATGATCTTGTGAGCGAAACAAATCGTCAAGCTTCGTCTCGCCCACGGGATAAATGCAGGCCATTCCGGTTGAAGTGGTTCTCTCATGGAGAAGAATCGAGGGAGTCCGTCCGTTGCAAGAGCTCGCATTTGTGCATCGTAGTCCAGTACTTGTTCATATTTGGTGTACAAGGTGTTCGAAGAGATGATTGCGTCATGTATCTGCGGCATCAAGCTTGCGATGTCCCCGAGAAAATTGGGGAAACTTGTCATACTTGGGACGTCGTCGGGTAGAGGCAACATTGTGGAGTCATCGCAGTGCATAGGTTTCAATGAAGAGAAATGCATCCTCTGAATCGAATACATCTCCGAGAATGGGATCGAAAACCAGTCTTGGATACACAGCTGTTGCCACAGTCTCCTTCCCGTTTCACGTTTGATTATCTTGTCTCGGAGCGCAGGAGTCGATAGCATGGAAGCACCAGCAACATTGCTTGCGTCATCTTCTGGCCCCAGTCGTTGCAAGCCGAGACCCTGGGCGATCTTGACAGCGGCTCCTAATAATGTGCTCTGGGTATTGCTGAACCCTAGGATATGGGCGGACATGGTAAGCGTTGTGATAGCTTCGACCGAGTAGACGTGATGTCGCCACATATAGTCTGCGAGATTGAGGCACGTTACCGTAGCCTTGTACCATTGCCTAGTCAGCTTCGCCCTTTCATTCTTCTTGAAACCCCAGCTCAAGGCCAGCTGCTCACTGGCACAAGTCATGCTTGCCGCCATTACGGCAAAGAGTAAGGCGGTCCATCTGAGATCCATGTTCCTGACTTGGAGTCCACTGGGGCCTTTGTACACCTCTTTGAGCTCTTCATAGAACGTCGGACCATGGAAGCACCCGTGATACCACAAAATCGAGCTGACATGGTATTCCACCAACTGGAAGACTTGTTTACGACTAGGAAGAAGCAATTGCAGGAACGAGACCTGGGCAGCACCCGTCCCTCCAAAGCCATTTGAAACATCCCAGTCTGGCCCGGTGTCCTTGGGAAGCGCGGCGGTGCCAGACTGATGAGGTTCCTTCAGGAGATCTAACGCTTTAAGATCGTAATCCGACAACTTGCTCCGACCCCAAGTGAGGAATTCTAGAACAGAGGCAGCATTGTCGACGTCAGTAACTGGGCCGTTGATTGGAGCGGGCCCGAGGTTGCTGGGATAGACTGGTGGTTGTTCGCGAGGACTAGGCCCGGAAGTCACAGACTTGGGCGTTCGTAGAGAAGGGTGCACGGCAGCCTCTGGCGGGTTGTTGGTATTGTTGGTTTGAGGGGACGTATCGGTGGCTGCGGGACTGGCGTCTGTCGCTGCGGACGATCGAGGATAGATTCGGTGAATTTTTGGATCGTAGCCGCCTTCAGGCCACTCCCGCGTGCATTTTGCAGCATCGCCTCTCTTGACGCAGCGACCGCAGGGAACGTTGCGGTCACATTTTTGCCGGCGCATAGAGCACTCGGTGCATGTCTGGCGTTCCTTGGGCATGGCTAGAGCTTCAGAGTCCGTTCACATAGTCCTCGTACTACAGTCATGACCCACGATCGCCCGAAGTGATGTTTGTACGGTATCGTTGATGAGGGATGTTCACGGGTTCGTACGTTCAGTACGAAGGTGGAGGCGGGAAAAGTGACATGAGGTCGAAAGAAAATTGCGAGTCGGGAAACACGGCCTTCAATTGCTTGGCATGCCGGTCACTGGACGCCGCTCCCACCGACAGGGTCTAGTATCTCGCTATGTAGCTGCCTCTCTCCTTCCGTACAGAGGAGCAAGCCTTCATAACGTGATTGTCAAAGAGTTTGCTGCTATTCAACCTATCTGAACATAAAATCCCACACCGCGTGAGATCACCCACTCCTCTGGCAAGATATTCCCCTTGATTATCATATCACGACTGCGATCACGACATGCCCTCCTTTACCCGATATACGATGCCAAACATTTCTCAGCAGCTTCCTCTCCAGCAAGCAGCAATAGCGATTCCTTAATTGCACGGCCACCTCCTTTGCTTGGAAAGCCCTGCAATCAAACATTTGTAGCCTCGATAAAGATGTCAGACGCAAACAGAAAC